CTGCTGTAATAACATTATGCTGTGTGTGTGTGTGTGTGTGTGTGTGTGTGTGTGTGTGTGTGTGTGTCTGTAAACACTTTTCTCCCCCCATAAACAGAGATGTTTAGTGAAAGCTTTTTCCACCCTGCCTCGGTGGAATTTTCCACTTCACTACAAGATGGTTTATGTGATAGCAACTGCGGTTTCTTAACATGTCTGACAGGAGCAATAATCGTTTCTGGAAATGTCACGAAGAAAACCGTGCTCGTAGTTATCTTTCTTTCCCCCTCCTGAACAGATGGCTGTGATCTCACCACTTAAACGCACACAATATCCTGACAGGAAATGCAGCCCACAAGTCTCTATCTGGTGTGGCATTAATGTTTTCTAAATGATTGCACACCTAGCACATGTCTGTTCCACTCAGGCACATGCCTAGTATTGTTTAATGCACTAATTCAATCGTTGTGACTTGAAACAGGCTTATGAAAGCTGCAAATATCCGCAGCTTTGCCTCGCTGTCTGCACAGCTGCAGTCTTATAAAGAGAGCTCGACTTGGCCTCCTGCCAGCATTTCATTCATCCCGGTGTTTTCAAACATTTGCGAAGACGCTTCCTCATTATTGTGCTTACCGTGGCTTTAGTCTTTGTTAAAAACTATTTGCATTCTTGTGATTCCGCAGGGCTGTTCTTCATCTTGCCGTGCACTGACAGCTTCATTAATGTGGACATGCGCACCATCACCTTCGACATCCCACCACAAGAGGTACACCTCTTTCAATTACATTAAACAAATACTTTGTCACATTCACAGAAGTTCTAAGAACATCAAAAGGATTGTGCAGCTTCTTGATACAGCAATACAAATCATTTTATACTTCCATTGATGCTTTTTCCTCTAGGTTCTGACCAAAGACTCTGTGACAGTGAGTGTGGACGGTGTGGTGTACTACCGGGTGCAGAATGCTACCCTGGCGGTGGCTAACATCACTAATGCGGATGCTGCCACCCGGCTGTTGGCCCAGACCACCCTGAGGAACGTCCTGGGCACCAAGAGTCTGGCTGAGATCCTGTCAGACCGGGAAGAAATCGCTCACAGCATGCAGGTGGAGTGCAACAATATCTGTTATACACACTGTCTGAAAAGCAGAATTTGAGTGGCACGTTACTTTGAGACAGTTTTCCTGAAACAAGCTGCAGTTAAGATGTGTACTATCCACTGTAGGCGAAGAAGCTAGCCCGTCTTCCATGTTGAGCCCGGCTGTCAGTCTGCTGTAACTTCAATTATTTATTTATTCATTAAACTTTCACTTTCAGTTTATGCTGAGCCTCTGTATATTATAAGATCTTTTTCAGATGCACACAGTCACATTCATTCATATCAGTTATACTTTATGTCTTCAGTATTGCAGTACACTAATTGTCTTAAAGTCAAAGACGCTGTTAATGTGTCAAACGAGGTTTTCTGCGCACCAGCAGATAATCTCCACTCCATCTCTTCTTTAATCAAACTGGGATTTGCTTGTGGCAAATTGTGCTTTACTGCCATCTTATGGCATTAATTGGGGTTGAATTGATTGGCCATTTGGGAACTCAACTCTGTTCAAATATAATCACACAGCTAATATCTCTCTGATCCAGTTGTCAGACAACTTTAGAAGCATAAGGATTTTCTTAAATTGCAGGACCTGTGAAGCAAGAGTGATTCCTTTACTGCTGCATCAACAGCCTCAAACAAATAACTGTTATTAGTCGTACACACCATAAACAAAAACACACAAGCTTCTATACACAGATTATCAAGCATGCAGCACAGAGCGTAGCCTCAGCTGTTTCATGTTTGCTTTACCAGTTAGTGGTCTGTCTGATTTGATTAAAAGCAACCACAACAAAGCTACTTTCTCTGTTATCGCCACTGTTTTAAAGAACAAGTCCTTATTTGTTTTAACCTAAACACCAACTGTGCTGTAAATATATTTTCTTTCTGCAAGAGGAAAAACGTGCTTAGTTTGAGCTCCATCTGCTGGCCAAATGGAAAAAAGCAACACAGTTGAAGGGAGTGTTGGGCTGACTTAGTCAATGAGTTGCTATTTTTAAGCTGTGGATAGCTTATCAAGGTTTCACACATCTTAATTCTGTCCTACGATTCAATTGTTATCTCTGTGTCTTCTCCAGTCCACTCTGGATGATGCTACAGACGACTGGGGGATCAAGGTGGAGCGGGTGGAGATCAAAGACGTTAAGCTGCCCGTCCAGCTGCAGAGAGCGATGGCTGCTGAGGCCGAGGCCACCCGGGAGGCCAGAGCCAAGGTGAGGGCGCTCTGTTCAGACCAGCAGATCCTCTCAAACATCTATACATCTCTAGATATTATTATTACAAGCTTTAGTTGACTCCTTTGGTCAATTTGGACATTCAGCAGGCCTCTCATTCTCGATATCAGACCGATGTTAAGGTTAAGTGTCTACAGTCATATCAATCCGCAGAAAGAAGTTCACTTTTTCAATTCATTTGTTATAGTTGTTGCGAATATGATAATTTAGACCAGGGATGGGTAAATGGCGGCCCTCCTCTTTTTGCGGCCCTCAGATTAATTTATAAGCAACTAAATAAAAAAATATATATTTATTTTTTTTACTTGTAGTACTGATACCGTCCACTAGACTCCTAGTTAGGTCGCGAGCTGCGTACATGATTTTGTTCGGCAGCCAAATACCGCAAAATAATCTGTGACGCGTTTGTGTGTATTGTGTTTGTTTCCCGGGGAAACACTCACAAGAAACACCGGCTGTTGTTATGCCTGCTGTGACGTTAAGTCACCGCTTGTAATTATGCCTTTACAAGCTTCAAAGTTGTATTTATCATCTGAATTTGGCGAAACAAGTTTAATATTCTAAAAACCAAGACTTTTTGCTTATTTTAAATCAGATGAAAACAAACTGTCACGGACCCTGCCGCGTTATCTATGATTACTATATGCTTTTCTCAGCCTTTTCCCCTCACCTCTCACCTCTCCTGTTTCTCCTGAAGGTGATCGCGGCGGAGGGAGAGATGAACGCGTCGCGGGCCCTGAAGGAGGCCTCCCTGGTGATCGCAGAGTCTCCGTCAGGCCTGCAGCTACGCTACCTTCAGACCCTCAGCACCATCGCCGCCGAGAAGAACTCCACCATCATCTTCCCGCTGCCTATGGAGATGATGCAGGCCTTCATGAAACGTTGAGGCAGAGCCGTGAAACACACACACACACACACACACACACACACACACACACACACACACACACACACACACACACACACACACACACACACACACACACACACACACA